ATGGCGCCGAGGTGGTTCCCGTGCGTACCTGCGCGCACGGAACGCTTCTCCGATGGCGCCGAGGTGGTTCCCGTGCGTGCCTGCACGCGCGGAACGCACCTCCGATGGCGCCGAGGTGGCTCCCGTGCGTATTTGCACACACGGAATGAGATCCGCCGGATTCTCCCGGTTTCTGCCGGCTTCCGCCCGGACCCCCCTGGGGTGTCACGATGCTCTCTTTTGACCCTACTAGAAACCTATCAGCGCAAGCTGTTAGGTAATATCCCCACCATCGGTTCGACGTCAGGCGCCTGGTGCGACAAGGTTCAAGTCATGCTCCGCACGCTTGCTCGGCCATCTGGCAGCTCCCGGCAGCTCCTGCAGCCTCATCCCGGCAGCTCCTGCAGCTTCAGCCCTCGGCGCAGCCCTGCGTCCTTCGGCGGTAGTCCTGCAGCTGCCTGTGCGCGCGCTAGGTCAATCAGTTCTGCTCGTAGCCCGAGCTGACCTGTGACGCCGCCGGAGCGTTCGCCTGCGGCCGCGACGAAAAAAATGATTTCCACCAGCACATCCAGAAACAAGTGCCAGGGAAGTTGCTCGAATCAGGGCAGTGTAGAAACATGCAGTTGCATGGTTGCCGTGGAAGCGTCTCGGGGTCGCCGACAACGGCGGAAATACATGTCGAATCACTGGACGCATGTTCCCCGACCACGGCTGGTTCATGAGGGTCTTCGGGGGCCCTTCTGGAGTTATCTTAGGGTTTTCTTGGAGTCGCCGTCGGGCCTCTCCCGGCCCCCTTGGTTCCCCCTTGGAGTTTTTGGGGGGGGGTACCGGGACTCTCTCATAGCTAGTGGGGGGGGGTCTGGGAGGCCAGTTGGGGTCGTCTTGGCCCCCATGATTCACACAGAGGGGGGCTTAGGAAATGCATGCATCCCCTCGGAGGCTCAAACATTGCGTCTTGGGTTCCTCTTGAGCCGGTCTTGGAGCTCTCTTGGGCGCTCTTGGGGCCTTTTTGAGGGCCCTCTTGGGCCCCTCTCAGGGCCCTCTGCGGCCGTCTTGGGGCCATCTTGAGGCCTCCGAGGCCCATCGGAAGCGAAAAGGCGAGAACGCAACAAACCATTGGTTTTCGTACGGTTTCAGAGCTATGTTGGCATCTTGGGGAGGTCCTTGAATAGCTCGAAGGGTACTTTGAACCGTCATGGGGCCGTCTTGAGGGCTCTTGGATGTGTGTCGTAGGCTATCTTTACTCGCTATCCTGACTCGTTTTGACTATCTTGAGCAAGCTTGGAGGCCATCTCGGACGCTCTAACCCCTCGTGAGGCGCCCCGTCCAAACCCAGGGGAGGGGGTATGGGGAGGGAGAAGGTCATGTTTCGCTCGGGGTGGGGTAGGAGGGGAGAGGAGAGGAGCGAAAGAAGGGGCACGGTGTCGGTTGGGGCGCCGTCGGGCCATCCGTTTGCCGCCGATCCGCCAGAGGAGGGCCGCAGGGACTTCGCACGCATTTTCTTCGCGGACGAGCGGAAGATATACGTCATGGGCAGGTTGGCCAATCTTCGACTCTCTCCTCTTCTCATGTCTCTGTCTCTCTCTCTCTCTCTCTCTTTCTCTCTCGCTGTTGTTCTCTCCTTTTCTCCTACATGCGCTTTGCTTTTTCTCCTGCTCCTCCTTCCTGCTCTTTATTTGTCCTCCTCGTCCTCCTCTTTGATCCATTCCATTCCTGGATCCTCCAGATGTTCTGCCCCCCCATTCATCGACGTCGCGGTTTCTCCATGACGTGGGCCCCTGAACCTCTCGACCGGGGCCGTTTTATCATCCTGAGCCGTCCTCCGATTGTCCTGGAGCGCGAAAGGGGCAAACGGCCGCTCGAATCCCAACATGGCCAAGCACCCCCGCCTGGTTTTTGTTCGAGCCGCCGCGGTGGCACGCCGCACGATCCGTGCACGAGAGCACTGTCCTCCCAGGGGCATGCCGCACATGCGGCCGGTGGAGCCGACGCTGGCGCCCAGCAAGGCGAACATCGGGGACCTCAGCGAACAGGTCGTTCAGATAGCCGAGGAGCCCCACCCACCAAACCACCCCAAGCCAACCCAGCCCGAAGGCCCCAGTGTGCCCTCATTCCCAGCGGGGGGGCACGTCGGGGAGCATGGACAAAAACACACCTGAAGCCCGCACCCCCCCAACCCGAGATCCGGGTCTTCGGGTGGGTCGGGCCGAACGAAAGGGGGGAATAGGGAAAGGGGGAGTTACGAAATCTGCTGCATGCAGCTAGTTTCGGCCCCGTCGCCGGGCCCATTCCTCGATAAATGGGCGCCTCGTGGCGCCGGGAGGCGCTGGGAAAATAAACTACGTGAGCTGATTCTCTACCCTACCCTTTGCTATCCCCCCCTTTCGTTCCCCCCGAGAGGAGTTGGGGGGGGGTCTGGCAGGCAGTCCGAGGAGCCTCGTGCCGTCGTCTTCGCCCTCCTCGGCCTGCGTGGGCCGTCGTCGCCGTCCTCGGCCTCCGCGCCTGACAGCTCACTCCTGACTCCCGACGCAGTCCACCCTCCTCATCCTCTTCCTCCTCCTCCTCCTCCTCGTCCTCGTCCGTTTCCTCCTCCTCCTCCTTCTCCTCCTCCTTCTCCTCCTCCTCCTCCGTTTCCTCCTCCTCCTCCTCCTCCTCCTTCTCCTCCGCAATCCTCCGAAGAGCTCCGAGTACCTCGGCCTCGTCGCCGCCGCCGCCTTCGTCCTCGCCGTCGCGGGCCCTCGGCGCGCCCTGGGCCGCCGAGGAGCGCCCCGGCACGGCCCTCTCTCGGCGGCCCCCCGCGGGGCCGCGCGCTCGGGCTAGGCGGCCCTGCCGAGGCCGTGCAGGCCGCCTTGCCTCGAGCCGCCCTGCCTCGAGGGCCGGAGGCCTCCAGAGTCCTCCTCCTCCTACCTCCTCCTCCTCCTCCTCCTCCTCCTCCTCCTCCTCCTCCTCCTCCTCCTCCTCCTCCTCCTCCTCCTCCTCCTCCTCCTCCTCCTCCTCCTCCTCCTCCTCCTCCCTCCTCCTCCTCCCTCCTCGCCCTGCGTGCAAAGCGAGCGCTGGCGCGAAGACCGTGTTCGGGGAAGCGTCATGTCGACTGTCGTTGGGTCGTCTCAGAGGGGGAGGGGGCGTTCAAGATTCCAGCCGCTATCCGCGGCGAGGCCCTGGGGCATGAGCTCCACAGGGCAGGCCAGTACACGTACTGTTCGCGCTGCGGGTTTTCACGACCGAGAGGGGGTGCAAGTTGATTGCCGCGTGCGGGATGCATCCAGCTAGCCCAACGACAGCGTATCGCCTCTCGCTCCTGGCCCGAGCGAGGCATCCTTACCGAGTGCAGCTCGCTCTCGAGGAGGCGTCCCGTTCCCTGCTCCCCTGGGAATGCGACGCCTTCTGGGAGCCGGCGCTCTGACCCGCACTTTTTCTTCGGGCAGAGTTTTTCTTTGGCGGGGTGGGGTGAGGCACCTCCGCAGTGTGCCCCCATCCGGCGCCTGGACTGAAGGCTGGCTGTGGCAGGGATCTGCCAGGCGGGTTCTTGCAGCAAGCTTCCTCCTCGGGCGAGGAGCGTTCCAGGCGGCGTTGGTCGAGGCGGAGGGGGCGCGAGTGCGGGGGTGGAGGAGGCTCGGGACCGGAGAGACGCCGGAGGAGGAAAAGGCACCCCTGCCGCTAGACCCTTCCCTCGTTTTCGCCGTCTGGGGGCCTCCTGGGAGGCCCTCGTCGCTACGGCCGGATTCGCCTCGAACTTCTGGCCAGAACGCACCCTGGGAGAGGTCCAGGGAGTAGCGGAGTTGGTGCCCGTGTGGTTCCCCCCAGGGAGTGCGACAGAGCGCGTGCCCCCCCGCACGGTGCCGTGGAAAAGAGCCTTCCCCCCACTCGGTGGCCACTCCGTTGTGCGGTGTGCGTGCTCTGGTGTCCCAAGCCTGTTCGAGAGATTCCGAATCACTACAGTAGCTTCTGGAGGCTCCTAGGAATCCCCGAAGGTTGAATCCAGCTAGAACCATCAAGAACGTCCGGAAACCTCCTTCCCTAGCGGATGCGACGACGACGACGACGACGACGACGGCGAGACATGCCGCGCCCCACCTCCCGAGGATCGTTTCACCGAGTGCCTCTCAAAGCAGCTGGCGCAGGTGTTCGGACGACCCCCGGACTCCACCCTCGTCGCGACGCTTCGGGCCCGCGCCGCTGCCTCAGTGGGGGCCCGCCCACCGGATAGACTCGGCGGCCCAGCCAGTCCGATCGTGGCGAGGCTTCGGGCGCTGCAGGCCTCAGCTTTTCGCGGGAGGCAGGGATGCCCTCCAGAGCACCCCTCCCGAGGCACGCAGCGCACCAGGGGCTCCAAGCCGGCCCGGAAATCTGCGGGCTTCTTTCGGCCAGGGCCACCTGTGGCAGCGCCCGAAGTCTGTCGGGGGGGTGCGCAACAATCAGTCCCGCTGGGGTGGTCCCGCATTCCGACCCGCTTCTCCAGACATCCGGCGTCACGAAGAAAGACATGGATACGGGTAGTTTATTCTCAGCTGTGGTACACGAACGCTCTGGGATGACAGACAAGTCCTAGGGGGTCGGCGGTTCCGTGGGTTCTTGTCGGACAGAATCACGACGGCGGAGGTCTTGGCATGCGTCGTGGAAAAGCACGGCGCGTTTCTCTGCACAGTGTCGGCCCCTTGCAGCCTCAAGGGCCGACCTGGCTTGAGGAGTACTGCTGTGGGGTTGACAGCCACGGTCTTGTCAGTCTTTGCTCTCTACCGGGCGTGTGCCCCTGTTCCTTCCCGGCGCCTGTCTTGCCCAGGGACGGGCGGCAAAATAGCCGACCGCCACACTGGCCCAGACGACGGGCGGCAACGAGGCCGCGACGGGGCGTCCACGGCGACAACATAGCCGCCAGATTGTCACACCAGCCCATCTCCCTAATATAGAAGTAAGAATCCCTAAGTGCAAACAGTGTGTGGGGAATACTTCTCTACATGTTTATACTTATCTGTCGGTATATATATACACCTATCTATGTATATTAAACGAGAGAGAGAGAGAGACAGAAAAAAAGAGACAGAGAGAGAGAGAGAAAAAAAAACAAAGAGAGAGAGAGAGAGAGAGAGAGAGCGAGAGAGAGAGAGAGAGCGTGCGTGTGCGCGTGCGCGTGCGCGTGCGCGTGAGCGTGAACGTGCGCATGAGCGTGAGCGTGAGCGTGAGCGTGAGCGTGAGGGTGAGCGTGTGTGTGTGTGTGTCTGTGTGTGTGTCTGTGTGTGTGTGTGTGTCTGTGTCTGTGTCTGTGTCAGTGTCTGTGTCTGTGTCTGCGTCTGTGTCTGCGTCTGTGTCTGTGTGTGCGTCTGCGTCCGTGTGTGTGCGTCGTCACCGACATCGGGCGTCGGGACAAAATACGGTACAGTGACAGGGCGCGATGAAGTTGAATCGGAGTGGCTGGCGCAGGTCGCTGCTATGCCGCAAACAGTCTTTGCAGGCCATTCCCCCCCCCCGGCCGCTTTTTCTGCCTGTTTGAGTGCGGCTTCCCCGAGGGTTCTTTCCAGGGCCATGTTATTTACTGAGATGGGCTCCGCCTGGGCCGATTACTCTGACGATCCTGCTCCCTCCTTCCCTTATGCTGCATTACCCCCTTCTCCTCCGTCCTTCCCCTCTTTCTCCCTTCCTCTCCTCACCCCTCATCCCTCCGCGGTCCCTCCCACTCCTCATCCAGCTGCGTACCCATGCGCCTACCAAAACGGGGCTGGTGTCCATTTCTGGTCTCTCCGTGGTGGCCGATCTCACCCGCTCCGATTTCTGACAGGCAGTGAGCTTGCTTTTTCGGAGTGCGATTCGCTCACAGGGGGGCCTCCATACTTCCATACTTAACCTACACTCGGACCGATGTATAAGATCGAAGTCGGTTCGGGGAGGGAGCCCCAGTATTCTTCGTGTCTGTTGGATGTTCTTGTTCGTCCCCGGGTTGGGGTACCCCAGAATGTTTTGTACGTTTTGGCTGGCGGAGGGTCTCATGTTCTTGAAGGATGTTCTTCTGTCTTAGCTCCCGTTGTATCCCCATCCCCACCGGGCCATTGTATCTCAGCCCTATCAGCTCACCCCCCCAGGTGGGGATAGGCCCCACGAAGCCCGGATGGGAAAGCAAGTGTCCCCACTCAGAAGGGTGAGTCGGCCATTGGGCTAAGGCCATGTCAGCGGGGATAGGGATCGGTTAAACGATGCTCGCAGCAGGCCCCACATACATCCACATCAGGGTTCGCTTCGGTTACGGCCGAAGCCAATCATATCGGCGGTGCGCCATTCACTTATCGTCGATGCGCTGATCTGCTGTCAGGGTATCGATCTTGCCCTCGCGCTCGAGAGCACGATCGGCCTATCGGATTGGGACGAGTGCTTGCAATCACTCTTAGGCCACGGCCGCGATGACGGTGAATGTTGGTCTTGATTTTGCCGTGCACATGGGGCTAATGCCAACGTTCTTACAGCCGTTCTTTCTAATCATTTTAATCCAGCAGCTTACAGACGTTGCCGCCCGCCCCACCACGCTCTGAGCACCGAGTGTTGAAGGTCACTTCGAAAGGTGCTCCAAGTCTTGAGACTTAGAGAAATCGAGATCGACGGACATGTTGCAGCAGTGCTGGAATGCACGCGTGGTCCTCCTCCTTCTCCTCCTCCTCCTCCTCTTCATTCTCGTCATTCTCCTCCTGCTCCTCCGCCTCCTCCTCCTCCTCCTGCTGGTTCCTCCTACCTCCTCACTCTCCTCCTCCTCCTCCTCCTCCTCCTCCTGCTCCTCTCCTACTCTTTCCTCCTGGGTTTGAGGCAGCGGACTCTACCCAAATCTGGTAGAACCGGCGGGCCCAGGATGGCAGGGTACGCCTATCGAGGGGAGAAGCCAGTTGCAAAAGGTATGGGCGCAGAACGTCCGAGTTCCTTGGGTGTTGTCGCAAGGCTTCTCGGGGCCACCGGCCCGAGGATGCCGCTTGGGACCCCAGAGGTCTCGTGATATCCCTGGAGGTCCCCTGAGGCTTGCCAGAGCCACTGGGGCTTCTCGTGGCCTCCGCGCAGGCCCGAAAAGGGCAGCTCAAGCCTCGAACCTTGATCTTAGACTGTTGACGACGACGACGACGACGACGACGACGACGACGACGACGACGACGACGACGACGACGACGACGACGACGACGACGACGACGACGACGACGACGACGACGACGACGACGACGTCGATAACCTCGGAGCCCCCGTGGGGCTTCCGCGCCCCGCTGGGAGGGGCGGGCGGATCCCAGAGCTGAGCCAGGCTCGCATAGCGACCTACGGGTTCGTTGCCGTGCGGCCCGCGGATGTCATCGGTGACCGGCACCCGTGGTCGGTGGGCCGCTGCTGCGGGCCAGGGAATGGGCGGGGTGGGGGGTGGCGAGGGGCTTCGATGCTCTCCTGACGTCGTGCTTCTCGGGGGGGGAGGGGCTTCTATTGGACGGGGCCTGCGGGGGCCTTCTGGTCGCCACGGCTTGGGTTCCCCTCGAGTTGCTGGCCACGGCGCGCCACAGAGAAGCTGCGGGGGTCGACCCGGGCCCCCGGCCCAGGCCCAGGACACTCAGAGCAAGAGTCAAGACAGCTGGCTGTCTCGCCGCCGTTTTCGGCCTGCCGAGGCAGTTCTTTGGGGGCTCGGGCCCCAGCGAATTCCGGGCAGCATGAGTACCCTTCCGCGGAAAAAGGCGTGGAGAGGGCCGCGCGTTGAAAAAACACGGCGTCGGAGGTACGGCACACGTGGCTTCTGTTTGGAACGAGGCGACCAGGGCGGCCGAGAATTCGCCGAGAACCGGCTCGTGCTGGTCGTCGTTTTTGGCCCTCTGGAAGGTGTGCTGGGCTGTTCCTGAGAGCGCCCGGATGGAAAACCACCCGCTTCAGGTAAGAACTATGTCGGGCCTGTCCCTCTATAGAAGGAATGTATAAAAATAGTCAGGGGACGAAGTTTTGACTAGTTTTGACAATTGGGGTTGTATTTTTGGGGGGTATTTTTTGATTTTTCGTCCAACGTCCCCCTGTAGGGGGACAGGCCCGACCTAAGTTTAGAAGCATCACCCCGGGGCTCTTCGACCCCGCCCCCGGGACGACCCGCTGCTTGACGCATGATGCCCGTTTGGAGGGCCCCAAAAGGGCCACCCCATGTAAAACCTTGGAAGCGGATCCAATGTGGGCAACAGCTAGTGAAAGCAGTGCATGCACCATATGCGGCGCAGTGCAACCACAGCGATGCAGTCGGATGCCACGCAGAGCGGAGCGAGGCCAAGACATGCGAAGGAACGGACAACGCTGCATCGCGATGCTGTGCAATGCGATGTAGCGCAATGTAGCGCAACGGCAACGGGGGGCAACGGGCGCCTGCGGGGCGGCTCGCGAGCCTGTCACGGGACTCCCACGGACGCGCCAAGTTCCCCACGAGCGAAGCAAGAAACCTTGATTGCAAGCATTGCTTCGGGAAGCACGCCCGTGGTGATTCTCTCGCGACGCCTCCAGACCTCGAATCCTTCGACCACCGCGAGGCAGACCTCGAATCCTTCGACCACCGCAAGGTAGACGCCAGATTTGAGCCTGGCGTTGAGAACTAGTTGGTGCCGGCGTGATTCGTTATTCTAGTGGATACGAACTGCACTGCACGAGCATTTTACACATCATGCTATTGAGGGACAGATCGCTGGCAGCGTACTTAACTGCAAACCTGCAGCTTCCAGTTCACTGTGGATACGATCCCCCCTCCCCTCCTCCCTCCTCGCCGGGTGCCCCTGACCCCGAGCGGCGGCCACACCGACCGCGGCACCCGCCCGACTGCAAGCGCACGCCCTACTGCGTGCGGCTCCTGTCGCCGAACCTGCTCCAGCCCGCGGGGGCATCCCCGGGGGGGGGGGTCGAGGGGGGGGGGGGCCTCAGCAGCCCGAGGGGGGGGGGGGCCCTCGGCCTCCATGCTCCGATGGAAGCCGAGGGGGTGCCCGCCCCGCCCCCGCGCCCTCGGTGCGTAGGAGGGAGGCAGGGCGCTTCCGTAGACATAAGTGGGACCTCTTCCTTTTCTACCTCGTTCCTTGTGGTGTTGTTGTTGTTGTTGTTGTTGTTGTTGTTGTTGTTGTTGTTGTTGTTGTTGTTCTTGATGCTGCTGTTGTTGTTGTTGTTGGTGGTGGTGGTGGTGGTGTTGATGCTGCTGTTGTTGGTGTTGCTGTTGTTGTTGTTGTTGTTGTTGTTGTTGTTGTTGTTGTTGTTGTTGTTGTTGTTGTTGTTGTTGTTGTTTGTTGCTGCTGCTGCTGCTGCTGCTGCTGCTGCTGTGGTTGTTGTTGCTGTTGCTGTTGTTGATGTTGTTGTTGTTGATGATGATGATGTTGTTGCTGCTGCTGTTCGTGCTGGTGCTGGTGCTCGTGCTGGTGCTGGTGCTGGTGCTGGCCCGGAGCCCCCGCGCTCCTTCCCGAGGAAAAGAGGCACACAGGCACGAAGAACCGGCGATCCTCCAGGAGAAGAAAAAGAGAAAAGATGGGAGTTGGAGGGGAGACGAACCTCGAGCAGGTATGGGAAACTGTGGGAAGTCCTCGTATCTGTGTGCATCTGTTTGTGTGTCTCTGGGCCCCATTCACTCCTGGAGGAGCGGGAGCGGGAGGCGGAGGAGTGGGGGAGCGGCGGCAGCAGACGGAGAAGGGGGGGATGTGAGAATGGTCTGGGAGGAGGACGGGAAGGGAGGAGCTGGAGAAACAGGAAGAGGAGCATCAGTAGGAGAACTGTTGCCTGGTAAATGGTGGTGATGATGAAGACGATGATGATGATGATGATGATGATGATGATGATGATGATGATGATGATGATGATGATGATGATGATGATGATGATGATCGTGGTGGTGATGTTGCTCCTGATGTGATGATGCGATGATGCGATGGCAATGGTGGTGATGATGGTGATGATGCTGGGCTCTCATTTTTGGAAGCGCATATACAAACAACTACACACATTTAGAAATGATTCATCAAGTGTAAAAGGGAACTTCTTGAGTCTCCATATTGTGTGTTTTTTCGGCACGGGTTTTACTACAACACCAACAGCGGATCCCGCCTCATACTCCCTCACACTTTATGTAATTTTGGATTCCGCTAGAGGATTTCATAATGTATGGAGGAATCGCGCTCTCGCTGAGACGTCGATACAAACGTATTAATGATTATCCTTTTTCGGCGCCTTATTTTCGGCGCTCCGGACTTCCTCAGAATTGACTCAGGAACCGCACTCTCGCCTCAGACTTCCTTGCCATCCCCTCTTGCTAATCGCTCTTGCCAATCCCTCGCGTCCTCCATCTTTTCCCTCCCTCCTTCGTGCCTCCTTCCCTCCTGCCTCTATTTGTCCACTCCTTCCCTCCTCGCTCTCCCCTCTTCTATCAACTCAGCTGTTCCTGCTTTGATGGCTGCGCCCATTACAGGTGGCAGTGAAGGAGGGTAAACCCCCCAAAGGGGGCACGAGCGAAGACGAAAAGGTCGGGCATCGAGAGCTTGGGGCGTATGAATCATGAATGGCACACGAGCGTATTAGAGCGGCCATTCATAACATGAATCGTGTTGAGGATGTTGTTTACGCTGATCAGTAAGTTGATGATGATAATGTTGTTGATGATGATTATGATGATGATGCTGACGATGCCGATGGGCGTGATGATGAGGACAGTGGTGGTGATGAGTATGATTAAATTATGATGATTGTGATGATGATGTTGTTGATGACTATGGTGATGATGACGATGACGAAGACAACGACGCTGCTGATGATGATGACTCTGATGATGATGGTGGTGGTGGTGGTGATGCTGATAATGATGATGAGAGTTGGGATGATGATGGTGATGATGATGCTGATGATGACTATGGTGGTGGTGATGCTAGTGGTGATGATGATGGCGATGGTGATACTGATGCGTATGATGACCAATCAACACGATGCCAGCGGTGATGACGATGGCGGGGGTGATAGTGATCGTGATGGTGGTGGTGGTGGTATTGCCCCTGATGCTGATGCTGATGCTGATCGCGATGTTGATGGTTTCGATGATGATGCCGATGTGTGTGATGGTGGTGTGTCTGATTATGATGGTGATAGTGATGATGCTGAAGGTGCGATTGATGCTGCCAATAGCGATGCTGATGATGACGCTGACGACAACGCTGATGATGACGACGATGATGCTGATGGTGAAGATGACGATGAAACAGATGATTATGCTGAGCATGCTGATGTTGCTGACGACGATGCTGATTAATACGATGAAACCGATGAGGATGATGATGGTGATGAGGATGAGGATGATGACGATGACGATGACGAAGATGATAATTATGATGATGATGATGATGATGGTGGTGATGATGATGCTGATGATGATGGCGATGATGATGATGGCGATGATGATGATGATGATGATGATGATGATGATGATGATGATGATGATGATGATGATGATGATGATGATGATGATGATGATGATGATGATGATGATGATGATGATGGGATGATGGGGATCCAGATACGAATGAGGAGGACGATAAGTAATCTAAGTATCGCTCGGAGAAGGGCAATGAGAGGGGGACAGGAGGGATAGGGGTCAGCAGAAGGTGGAAGGAGGAGGGACAGCGGAAGCATTAGAGGGGGGGAGGAGGTGCGACAGGAGGAGCAGGGCCGCTACAATTATTGGGAGCCTCCGTATAGCCTCGGTGGTCCAAGTGGGCATGTAACTTTCTTCTCCTCCGCATTCTCGCTCCTTACTGCTTCGCGTCATGATTTACGTCTTCTCCTCTCAATCCTCGCTCCTCCTCGCTCCTATTTTTCCCCTCCTGGTTACCATTGTATATCGAGTTCCCTCTTCCCCTTGGCTTTCGCTCATTTTCGCTTGAGCTTCCCCTTCCCGCCCAGCGCTCTCTCCTTCCCCCCCCTCATCTTCGCTCCTGCTCATTCTCGGTCCCTCTCCCCGTCGCTCCTCAACATCACCCCAGCACCTCCTGATTCTTGTTCTCCTCGCTCCTCCCTCTTCGCCGTCGCCGCTCTTGGCCTTTCCTCTCTCGCCCCCCCCCTCCCCCTCTCCGCTCGCCGCTCTGGGCGCTCCAAGCCCCCCTCCCCCCTTGCTCCTTCCTCCCTCCCTCCGCCTCGACCTACGCCCCCTGGGGGGGGCGCCGAGGAGGGCTCGGCACGGGCGACGTCTGTTGGGCCCCCCTCCCCTTGCCTTAAGTCGGGCATGTCCCTCTACGGGAGGACTTTTCCAAAACAGTCAAGTAATGGTCTGGGGGCGATGGTTTGAATTTTTGTTGCTGGCCACTTGGGGGCATTGTTCGAGTATTCTATCTTTTCCGTCCCGAATCCCCCTGTAGGAGGACAGCCCCCGACTTGACCCCTGCCCACCCCCCCTGGCATCCGAGGGTTGGTGGGTGGAGTACAGCCTGCGGACCGTGGCCAGCCCGACCAGGGCGGGGCGGCGGTGGGTTGGGACGCGCGCTTGTTCCGTGGCCCGTGGCCCGGGATCGGTCCGATCGGGACGTGTGCGGAGCGCATGTCAGGGCGCCAACATCGCAGAGCGGGTTTCGTTCGGAAAACGATAGGATGGGCCCAGGGTGTCCTGGAGAATCTCGTTCCGGGTTTCGAGGGGAATTTCGTGCGGATTTCCCCACGCGAAATTAATGTCGTGTTTCATTCGCCCTTTCTAGGTCTTGCATTGACAGAAATCCACGCAAAAAAACACTGCAGCACGTATGCAAGGTCGGTGCAGTGACACATGGGGACGAGGACCGATGCGGTAGGTTCACGCGGCGCTGGTGCGCCGGCGACGTCGGCGAAGGTGTTCAAGGTTGAAGTCCACATGATAGAACGACGCGGAAGAATTGAGGCGCACGGCAACGCCATGGGACCCGGCGGAATTCAACGTTTAACGATCGGGGCCGCGATCGGTTCAAGGTTGAACGATCGGCGCAGTGTCAAACCCTTTGTGTGCACCGACGCCGCACGAACTTACCGTAGCAGCTCCTGCCCACTCTTGAACAGGACTCGCGGTCGGCGTCGCCGCGGACACCGCTCTTTTGAGTCAGTAAGGCGCCTGCCCAATAGCAGCCGCTGCTTAGGCATCTTGCCCACTTTCCGTACCCACGTCGGGCGTGCCAAGGTCAGGAGGGGAAACACACAGACTCAATGAACCGTTGATTCGAAAACATTTACATCTATATATATATATATAGTTACGGGCAAACGCGGTGGGGACGTTGGTTAAGAAATGTGCCCAAGAGGTTTCAGGCCCTGGGGGATTCCTTATCTGATGAGGGCGGCGGTGACATCCATGGCCAAGCTTCGACTGGAGTTCCACCGGCCTCCAGACCCTGGATTCATCATCCACGTATCGATGATCGACGCCGTCGTCGAGCATGCATCGATTCTCGACGATGGGCGGGTATTGCCTGTCGATGGTCGATCTGCGGTTTCGTCTTCGCCGTCTTCCGTCCCGCGCCTGCCCGACCGCCGCCCCGCAGCGTCAAGAGGGTGGTCGAGGGCGACCTCTCGCTGGTCCGAGAGGCCATACGGACAGCCCAGTGGGACGCCCTGACGTGAAAAAAAGGCGCGGGAGGCCTTCGGAGGAAGGGCGATCCGTCCTTTCAATTGTCCGGCGGCTCGATTGTCCTCCTCCTCCTCCTCCTCCTCCTCCTCGTCCTCGTCCTCCTCCTCCTCCTCCTCCTCCTCCTCCTCCTCCTCCTCATCCTCATCCTCCTCCTCCTCCTCCCCCACCAGGTAGATTCATTATTCTCGTTCTTCTTTTCGTTTCCGCCTCTTAGGGGCCGTCCTTGGGCCACGGGGCCCTCGCGAAACGATCCAGGGGGAAAGGGCGGCTCTGGAGTGATGGGCGAATCTGTTCCACCACCATCGCTACCATGTGTAAGACGGGGGAGAAGGGAGGATGAGGAGGTCCTCCTCCTCCTCCTCCTTCTCCTCCTCCTCCTCCTCCTCCTCTTTCTACTTGTGGTAGTGGTGGTGAAAAATGGGCCCATCATGAGAAAGGCACGGATTGGCCGCCGGAGTTGTGAGGGTCACCGCCAGAAATACCCGGCGGGGGGATTAGGGGGGCAGAGGTTGGGTCGGCCAAAGAAAACACCTGTGGGGGCGCGCAGAAGATCGCGCCTCGCTGTCTGGGGTCCGAGTGTTGGTGGTCTCATTGATGGAAGGACGATGCGAGAGATATCGCAGCATAAGGCGCGAAGTTTGGTGACCCAGGTCGCAGAAGAAGAAACGCCGTAAACATACATTTTTGGCGCTGCGCGCGGACTTCTTGGATCCGCGCTGAGCCCCCTCGGGCGGCGCCTCCGGCGCCGCCCCTGGCGCGCTCTGCGCGCCAGGACGGAGGGCCCAGCTCAGATCCAAGAAATCCGCGCGGAGTTCGAAAAGTTTATGTCCATGCCATTTTCTCCTTTTGATGTCGCAGCGTAGAGTGCGACGTTTGGTGACCCAGGTAAGGGGTGGCGGCGGCACTGTGTACAGGTCTGGGCAACCTCGCGGGGCATCCCGCAAGGTCGCATCCCACAGACCGGCAAATCTTAGCGGGCGGTTAACGGCATACATCAGATTTCCGTCAAAGGGGGCGTTGCCCAAGGGCGGTTGGAAAGCTTATACTTTGACGTGCCACCGTCAGGGTATCAACTGTCCAGCCGCCATGGGACAAGTGCCCCCAACAGCGAGACAGTTGATCGTATACCGTTCTTCGCCCGTAAAAGCTCCTGCATCCTCTTTAGGCGAGCGACGAGGGGACGGGGATCGATGGCGCGAACTTTCGCGCGCGAGGTCTGCGCGTGAGGTCGGGGGTGAGGCCGCGCTGGCGGCTTGCGTTGGCCACCGCGCAGGGCCACCGCGCCTGCGGCTCTCGGGCGGCGGTGGTGGTGAGTTGTTCCTTCCCCGTTGGCCTCGCCCCCCCCCCCCCCTCCTCCTCCTCCTCCTCCTCCTCCTCCTCCTCCTCCTCCTCCTCCTCCTCCTCCTCCTCCTCCTCCTCCTTCCCCCCTCCAAATTAAT